CCTTGGAACACCCAAACAGCCGACTGTCGTTTATTTTCTGGTTCATAATAGTAAATCCACGATTCATCACCACTAACAATGCTGTACACATTTTTTGAGTTTCCGGAATTGAAACGGTCAAGCGTTTTTTGACACCAATTAACCCTGGCTACTTTCTGCTCTTCAGTCAACAGATGGGGTATCCAACGAGAAACTAATTTTCTTACTCCTAATTCTTCATGTAAATTTTTTTGAATTGAGGTCTTTGAGATCTTCAAGGACACCTCAATCTCGCGATATGTCACATGTCTATCTTCAATGATGAGTTTGCGCACAGCATCGACGTTTTCCTGGGTGACTGCCGTTTTTGGTGCACCCACCCTGGGATCGTCGCTAAGACTCACCCGTCCACGTTTGAATTCTCCATACCAACGGGAAATTGTCGACTGATGTGGCGCTTCGTTGCCGAAAACAAACAATAACTCAGCAAGGCATTCTTGTTGCGATAATTGTCTCTGAAAGTTGTAATAAATTATGGCGCGAAAATGTTATCGGTTGAGTTTCGTATTTCTAATGACTTGGTGACACTTAAAAATTCACTGTAGTGAGAACACTGCACGTATTGCTGTGAAACTTTGAATTTAAGTTTGGTAAAGGGTGAGGTTAAGATTCAGTACTGACGTTCGATCCGGGCGGCCTACTATGTTTCTATATGCAAAACTTAAAAGACATCCCTCGTAAAACGATTTGTTTTCAAAATTGATTTACTGATCTTAGAGGTGCGATGTTCATTTTGTATGCCGATTTTTCGCTTTACATAGTTCGCACACTTGTATATGTAAATACAAGGAAATATCAAAAGTTTTTTTGCCTAAAAGTGTATTTGCAAGTTTCACCAAAACTACGGTTGAACAACAATCTAATTATCCGTTTTTGTGATATAAAAAAACTATTGATGCTTGTAGCTCTACCCCTGCATAGGATGTTATAATTTAAACGGCTGTATACGAGAGCATAGTATAGCGATGATGGTCTCTTTTTATCTAAATACTGCTTTATATTAATGACATAATAAGCTTTATTTAAGTTCAGGCATACAATCTCAGTTTGAATGCTGATAGATCTGCATCAAACCAGCTTCCAAGGAGTTTCATGCTATCCACACACAAAAAGAGTGGCTATTGATTCAAGAGCATGAGATTCTTTGAAATTATGATATCGGTTCGAGATCACATATACTTCAAACGAGGTCATTTCGTTGTTTGAAAGAAACGTGGCACTTATAATTGTGAAATTGCCCTTAATTCAAATACATATCGAAGTCACGGTTCCTCAATTGAAGATAGTTGTTCTTGAACCAAGATCATTCTTTTTTGTGTGAACTGCAATCCAAACTCTACCTTTAATGTTGTCTTAGTAGTTGGATGTATGACTTTTCTAATATGAAAGTCGATTGCGGTAGTTTTATTTATATTTAGGATTAGGATCAACTTGTTTCTTTGGCACCAAACTTCCATTTCTTCGAAAACAACTAAGACGTATTGCATTTTGAAGCTTGGTCGTAGCAACGCTGAGATAGCTTTAATAGTGAGAAAAACATCCACATGTGGTGACCAAATCTCCTACTGTAGTAATGGCAACCCACTTAAACGTTTTTGTTTCTTGATTTTGCATAACTTTTCCTAATATAGCAAGATTGTAGTTCAAATATAATATTAAATACGTGTTTTACAAAATTAATTCATCGACTATAAACAAATTTCGATAATAAGAGTAAAATTCAGTTAATTGTGAATTCAAAAACTATATATGCAATGAAAGTTCAACGTTTTTCAACTAAACTTCACATATGGATGGATAGCGAAATGCTTCTGCATATTTGACATGGTGAATCATATTGCGTCCAGCAACAAAATAATACTGCAGTTTCCTTTTGTCGATTTAATTTCGTTATCATCCAGATATTTCTGAGTAAGTTACAGTTTATTGCTACTATTATAAACTTGCTGAATGTAATAAAGGTCAGTTAGAAACAAATCTGTATCAATATCTTGATATCTCTCTTTCATGTTATATATCGCAGAAACACTTCTAATTTGTGGATAAAAAACAAAAGATAATGTACCAAGATACTTCTAAATATTTTACCTTTGCGTCGTATAACCATAAGGGTATCTGCGATAGTGGCTATTTTAGTATAAGAAACCCCAATGACATGTTTTGAAGTTGAAAATGTTTAGTGAATCCTTAAGTGCTGTATGATCGTATGAGGATCTAGTTTTGGGATGTTTTGGAAAAAAATAAATTTAAGCTGCAAGTTCCGCACACACGTCTGATATTTGCTTTTGCAATCTAACACTTTCTGTCACATCATGGTGACAGATGCATACCAACTATAAGTTACAGCTATAGTAACTAAGCGTTATGATTTTTTGGTATCCTTTGGTATTCCAAATGCTGTCCCTCTTTGACATCACTTGTTTACAGCACAACTCTTACGATGTATACGTATATACGAGTATTGTGACTTGTGACTAATCTAAGTCTGGGTAATATATTATCTATACAGATTGCACTTAAAAAGTGATTTATGTTCTGTTTGTTGCTCAATAGTAATTTGACTGATTTTGTTCGGGGTTGGTGTTGCAGCAAACCATTATGTTAGATGAATGCCTAAATTGGAAATAGACATTTATGAGATTTGTTTAGCGGTACGACTGTGGCCTGTCTAGAAACTGCGTCGATCGATGCTCAAAATCAATTCCACACGTCCCGCATCTGTTCTCGCGTATGTGTCTATTTATGTTGCTATATTGAATTCGTTTAAATCACGAAGCTGCTGCACTATACGTGAATATATACAGCCCTGTATTCCAGTACTTGTTTAGTACAAACATACATTATCAAAATAATTGCGATCTAACAGATATAGTTTTTTTCCAAGGATTTCCAACATTTCTACATGAGATCAACACCGATTCGAAATCTGAGAAAACAACCCCTACTGAGCGGAGCCGTGGCAAATGCTTGTTCCGGAAGTTGTTGTATCCAGCATACAACTTCTTCCCGTACACGTGATTGTACACCCGTTAAGGAATACCTCAGTACTGCTTGCCGGGTGGCGGTACAAGTCCGCCAACGGGCCACTTCAGGTCTATTTAATATCATTAACATGTAAAAAGAAGGTGGTAGACAAGGACCAGTCCACCGAAGTGGTACCACCCTATAGCTTTTCCCAGGGTGTCCTATAAATGTCCGCATGTTTCCACACCCAAGCTATGCAGTCGGTTATATTCCAAAACAAAGAAATTAATGATGATGGGTCCCTCGAGTACTAAGAATTTCGGATGTAAGCTCACTCCTGTCTCAGAATGTCCGGGTGGAGGGTGGACTCGAACCACATCGAAGATAAAATTTGTTTCACGAACGTCTGCGGGATTAACAGTAACATTGATGCTGTTCATCACTACTTGCAATCCAATCGTCCCACCATGCTTTTCTTGGCCGAGACAAAAATCTCAGAGTCCGCACCAATCAACCATCTTAGCTTACCAAATTACGCGGTGAACTCCAATCTGAGAAAGAACGTGGAAGTTGTGGCCTTTGTCCTTGGAGAAATGTCTCATACTGCTGATATAATAGAAGTGCTTGATTGTGTCAGTATTTGCACCATTTACTTGATTTGTTTAATGGGCAGTTCAGAGTCTTAATCCTTGAGCTTATTACATACTATAGGCAGTCTGGAAACGATTTCTAGACACGATCTATAGATGGTCTACATGCATCCTTCTTTGTCTTGTCTAGCGTCCATACGATAATGTGAATTTTTAGGTCTCATGTTCGTTTCCGCAATCAAATACATTGTCTCGGGGTCCCTCAGAATGTTTTATTTATTTTTTGTCGGTTAACAGAGCAATGAAGTTTTTTATGTTTGAGTCTTTAATATTATTACACTAGTTATTTTGTTCTCATATAATAAAATATTGGCTTTCTTAGGATTTCTGAGCAATTTCAATGACTTTTTTTTCAAGCTGGCCTTGACCAGATAGAACACGATGGATTTAAGAAGCAATAATAGGATAAATTCTATAAAAATGACCAGCCCCTAATATCGTCCCCCCCCCCTAGACAAAATCGTGAATCCGCTCTTGGTTCCACACAATCCTGGGAAATTATTTAGGTTCATGGGCTTGAAAAGTATTTTTCCGCTAAAACAATAACCTGCCTATTCAGCTTGAATTTGCTTTTACCGAAACCCCAAGACGACAATTTGTTGCTGAGATATCGAATTTTTAGTGGAAAGGATCACTTTTGGTTTTGATCATCGATACTTCAGACACCAATCATTGTACATAAAACCGAAGGGTGGTTTCAAAATATCAATCACTGATCATTTATGGAACACCATTTTTTCATCCTTCATATCGGCTGTAAAAAAACATGAAAAAAATTCTGCAAAAAAATGTTCATATTTATGAATTATTTACATGTTTTGTAAGAAAAGTATGGAAAAAGCTGAAACGCAATTTATTCTTTTTTCAAGGTTTTATCAGCAATAAATAAGATCTTTTATTTTTTTTATTATTCAAAACAAAAAGAAGGTACTGGGTAGATCAAAGTGATATCTTATAGAGTTATTATGGGTATATGGAGCTCAACATTAGCCGTTTTGTCAATAATTGAACAGCACTTGATTATCCAAAAAATCGTAAATTATTCCTTTTTCCCTGTTTTTTGCAGCTCATATAAAGTATTAATATTGATAAAATGATGATTCGTCCTTTTAGTGAATTCATTCCAGCTTTTGGAACCACTCTCATATTTCCTGTACGATGGTGGCTTGCAAATGCAAATAGCACTTCAACAGATGACTAGTAATTTACAATTATTCTTATTTCACTCCTCAATTGTTTCCATTAGAGTAGCATTTCGCACTGTCATATTTTAATTGTATGCTCCCTCGTACCACCAAACTGAAGTGTATTTAAATTGACACTAATCATCTTTCTTTCCCTTTCCAGACCTCTTATTCTGACAAAGGACCGAAGGTGAGTTGAATGTGATTTCTTTAATAAAAATTATTGATACTGATGTTTATTAATAATAAAATATGTTAATAATCATTTTTATAATACTAATTATGATGTAATAATATCTAGTGGAATATTCATAGAATCTCGATAATTTACATTATTTTTTTTCCTCTAGCCTACAAACGGAAAGTTTCTGTATTTTGATCACGTCACATTCTATGTTGGCAATGCAAAACAGGTGAGTGATTATTATTATATAGACACTTCTAAGAACAGTATTTCATTTATATTAACTTAATTTGTCAGTTTCGACTATTGTGGACAAAGTTACTTAATATACAGGGTGTCCCAGAAGTCGACGTCAAGCCGAAACCGGGTGATAAGCAAAGTCATAACGGCTATCAGAAAAATATTTAAAAAAATTTTATGTATGTGTTTTGAAAATTATAGGTCTTTGAAAAAAATATAGAAATTTCACACCCTACGGCAGTCTGTCAACTCCTGTTACTACAAATATTAACTTTTTTTGGATTTTATTTTTACAATGTAATGATGAATAATGCATCTTCAAACTGGTGTCTCAACCTTACTGCCAACTTTTCTCGTTCAGGAAAAATTGCCACTTATTTCCCAACCAAGCATTCCAAAGTAAAACTTTGATCAACTTTAACTGGCTGTACTGGAAAAAAATGTACTACGAGAGTTTGGCAAGTAACCTTAAAAGTTGGCGCATTTAATAAGGATTCCAAAATGGTATAACACTTAGAAGATTACTCGTTAACTTATGCACAATTTTTATTTGAAGAAAAACTGATGAAAATTTTTCAAAATTTCCTAATTAAACAGCGATTATGAAAACGCACAAGGACCCTTAAGGATAACTGTTTGCACAACAGTGGGCGTCAAAATGCTGCTGATGATGATTTACCTTTACAGCAAATGCTCAAACTGTTTTCCTTCAGCCGCAATACACGCTCGACATCTTCTTAAAAAAGATCGGGTTATTAAACGAGCGAATCCACGGTTATTAACAATCTCAGCTGCTTCCAATAGTCTTTGCCGTAGCTCAGCTACATTTTGAATCGGCTTGAAATATACTTTTTCTTTTACAGTCCCCCAGTAAAAAAAATCTAACGGATTCAAATCTGGTGACCGGGCTGGCCACGGCATTGTACCAGACCGCCCTATCCATCTGCCTGGAAAGTTTTGATCGAGATACTCTCTCACTGAGAGTGCATAGTGCGCTGGGCAGCCATCATGCTGAAACCACATGTCCCTGTAAATACTCAATGGCACGTCCTCCAATAAATTTTCTAAATGATTTTGCAAAAAACCTAAATAAACCTCAGCAGTCAAAGTCTCTGGGAACTCAAACGGACCGATTATTTTACCATTTAAAATTCCTGTCCAATGGTTTATCTTGAAGCGATATTGAGATTTATCTTCTCTCATCAAATGTGGGTTTGCTACGTGCCACTCGTGTAAGTTATGCAGGTTCATGGAGCCATCTTTCTTAAATGTGGTCTCATCTGACCATAAAAGTTTTTCAAAGAACCGTGGATCTTCCCTGTGTCTTTCTAACATTGTGCGACAAAAAGCAACTCGGGGCTCATAATCCCGGGGCAGAAGAGCTTGAACACGCTGTACGCTGTACGATGGAGCACGTTTTTTTGCAAGATTCTATGGGCTGTACTTTTGGGCACACCTGTTTTTAGTTCTATTGCAGCACGTCTTCGTAAGGAAGGAAAGATCTTCCCTCACCGTGTGATTGGTTTGGTAGTTGGCCCTCTGAGAATAGTAAGCGGTGCACATTTGTGAACACTCGATGATCTGGATGACGAGCTGCATTCGGGTACCTCTCACAGTAAAGTCTCGCTGCAGCACTAGCGTTGCATCTGCATTCCCCATAAATGAGGTGCATGTTAGCATATTCTTGTACGGTTTACACGGACATAGCGGCACTGCACAATCACACTATCAAAGATAGTCTAAGGAAAGCAAATGTTGTTTTGAAGAGCAATTAAACAGTCCAAATCCAAATCACAAGCGATCAACAGTCCAGTTCACGAATCCAAAATTAGTAACAGTATGAAATCAACAAGCACGAACATGTAAAGATGGGCAGTAAACGAAGGAGTACTGATCGGTATCAAAGTGTGCAATAGCAAGTAAGTGATGTGCTTCATCCATACCACATACAGCGTGTTCAACCTCTCCTGTCCCGGGATTATGAGCCCCGAGTTGCTTTTTGTCGCACAATGTTAGAAAGACACAGGAAAGATCCACAGTTCTTTGAAAAAATGTTATGGTCGGATGAGACCACATTTAAGAAAGATGGGTACATGAACCAACTTACACGAGTGGCACGTAGCAAACCCACATTTGATGAGAGAAGATAAATCTCAATATCGCTTCAAGATAAACCATTGGACAGGAATTTTAAATGGTAAAATAATCGGTCCGTTTGAGTTCCCAGAGACTTTGACTGCTGAAGTTTATTTGGATTTTTTGTAAAATCATGTACAAAATTTATTGGTGGACGTGATACTGAGTATTTACAGGGACATGTGGTTTCAGCATGATGGCTGGCCAGCGCACTATGCACTCTCAGTGAGAGAGTATCTCGATCAAAACTTTCCAGGCAGATGGATAAGGCGGTCTGGTACAATACCGTGGCCAGCCCGATCACCTGATTTGAATCCTTTAGATTTTGTTACTGGGGAACTGTAAAAGAAAAAGTGTATTTCAAGCCGATTCAAAATGTAGCTGAGCTACGGCAAAGACTATTGGAAGCAGCTGAGTTTGTTAATAACCGTGGATTCGCTCGTTTAATAACCCGATTTTTTTTAAGAAGATGTCGAGCGTGTATTGCGGCTGAAGGAAAACAGTTTGAGCATTTGCTGTAAAGGCAGCATTTTGACGCCCACTGTTGTGCAAACAGTTATCCTTAAGGGTCCTTGTGCGTTTTCATAATCGCTGTTTAATTAGGAAATTTTGAAAAATTTTCATCAGTTTTTTTTTCAAATAAAAATTGTGCATAAGTTAACGAGTAATCTTCTAAGTGTTATACCATTTTGGAATCGTTATTAAATGCGCCAACTTTTAAGGTTACTTGCCAGACTCTCGTAGTATATTTTTTTCCAGTACAGCCAGTTAAAATTTTACTTTGGAATACTTGGTTGGAAAATAAGTGTCAATTTTTCCTGAACGAGAAAAGTTGGCAGTAAGGTTGAGACACCAGTTTGAAGATGCATTATTCATCATTACATTGTAAAAATAAAATCCAAAAAAAGTTAATATTTGTAGTAACAGGAGTTGACAGACTGCCGTAGGGTGTGAAATTTCTATATCTTTTTCAAAGACCTATAATTTTCAAAACACATACATATTTTTTTTTTAAATATTTTTCTGATAGATATTATGACTTTGCCTATCACCCGGTTTCGGCTTGACGTCGACTTCTGGGACACCCTGTATATTTTTCAAGTATGATAATTAGATAAGATAGACTGAAAGATAGTAATGCCAGAAATACTTGATTTACTGTAACATATTAAATACTATTATTTATAATGATTATTTTATCGTTTTTCAGGCTGCCTCTTACTATGTAACCAGGCTGGGATTCCAGCCCTTGGCATACAAAGGGCTGGAAACTGGAAGCCGAAAATACGCGCACCATGTAGTTCATCAAAATAGGGTGAGTAAGCTTGTAAACGCTGGTTTCGTACGAAAAGTTTCAGGGCCATTGTCAACAGGGCCATATTTACAGTACTTTAGACTGACTCATAAAATTACTCAAAGATTATCAAATTATTTCATTTGTGTTCAGTCCTGCATCATCTAAATAACTCAAACAAATCTAGTCATGTAATGTGAAGGATGATTCAAAGCATATTCCCAAGTTATTCAAACATTAAACTGAAACTAGAGTGTCAAATCTATGCTCTTAAAGGCCTCCACTATTGGAAATTGTATGCAACATAGTTGATACTCGTAGTTGAAGAACCAGCAAAATGAACACAGTTAGCAGTAGCAAGGCATCCCTTTAACCGGCGCACTTCACCCTCTTTGCTCTTTCCCCTTCCTTCCTTCCTTTCTTCTTCCTTTCTTTCTCCCTGACTTCGTCTGGTATCTGGGCAACCAGACCTGACAGACCTACTGACCTACGATACTTTAACAAAGACCGAAGGTCCCGCGGACCGCAGTGACGGACAACGACGAATGGAAAATGTTATCTTTACTGGATCGGTAATTGATTTAAAAGTTCATTTACAGTGAAATTTCAAAGTTGTCAAGTCCCTATTGCAAAACCCGACATTTTTTTATTTCCGAATAAAACGTATAGAATGAACCAGTTGACTGAGATTATAATTTTTTCAGATTATCTTCCAGTTCGTGTCCCCGTATGAATCGGATGACAAAGAAGTCAATCAACACGTCTCAAAACATGGAGACGGAGTAAAGGACGTTGCATTTGCCGTAGAAAATCTGGATGCAATCGTAGCTGTAAGTTTATTTCAGTTTCCTCGGTATAGTGCGTCTAGCATACGAGCCCCTTCCCACTTCAGTTGGCCCAACTATTGAAATCTTAGTTTTTTCTTATCAAACACAAATAATAAAAATGTAGCAGGTTGTTACAGGTTTAAAATGTTAACAATGAATATTTTGATAATATATAGTAGAAAACACCAACTGTATCACTCCCTAATCAAATTTGCAGCATAAAAATAACACATGTTGCAATTACAGCATATCAACCTATTTTCATTTCAATGCAAAATAAGTCTATAACGCATAGGTGGCTGTGAAAAACAAAAGCCATGACAATTGTTTTTATTAATCACAGCTGTCAGAATACGTTTAAAATAGTTTTGGGTAGTTAAGGTTTTCAAAATGAGTAGAGGAAAGGTGATTAGTGAGAAAATTCGGTTACTGATAATTAAATTTTTTAATTCTGGGAAATAAAACTCAGAAATTGCAACTTTGTTAGACTTATCGCGGTACAGTGTGAGAAATATTGTTAGAAGATATAACGTAACTGGTTCAGTTATTATTAAGCCACGATATGTGAAAAAAAGTAATATCACAAATGCCGACCGAAGAGCATTAAGAAGAATAATCGTGAAAAACAGGCGTCCCAATTATTTAAAATTAAGTGCTCTGTGGAGTGACGCTATTGGAAGGAGAATTTCGAGGTCCACAACTCATAGAGAAGCCCACAAACTGGGATTTAGCACCTGCAAGGTAAGTTTTCTTATAAAAAAAAGTGAAGTAAAAACCCTAAAGTTGCACAACTTGTTTATAGGCCAAAGAAAAGCCCCTATTAACTCCACTGCAAAAGAAAAATCGGCTTAGATGGGCTAAAGAACATAGACAATGGACACCTCAACAATGGTGTGCAATACAATGGAGTGATGAGTCCCGATTCGAAGTTTGTGTTGGTGACAGTCGCAGTAGAGTTATTCGCAAAAAAAATGCAGCATTCCATGTTGACTGTCTGAACAGAAAAGTGAAATTTCCAGCATCCATTATGGTCTGGGGCAGTATGTTATCAAAAGGGGTAGGAAAACTTCATTTTATTGATGGAAATGTGGATACAAACAAATATTTGGCAATTTTAGAAGAAACGCTTTTACCAGTGATGAAAGAACGTTTGACATCCGGCCAAGATTTTGTGTTTCAACAAGATGGTGCAGCGTGCGATACCTCAAAAAAGGCTATAAAATGGATAGAAGAAAATAATGTACCACTTTTGAAATGGTTTCTAGCAGTCCAGATCTGTCACCTATTGAAACTTTGTGGCACGAGATGAAAAAGGTTCTACTACAACATCCTGCTCGTACAATCACCGAACTGAGACAAAATCTTCACGAAATATGAGATTGTTTTACACCAAATTTTTGACAAAACTTGGTTAACACTATGCCCCAAAGAATTTCAGCCGTAATAAAAAATAAAGGTGATGTTACCCAATGGTAATCTTTCAATTGTTGCTTTGTTAACTTCGCGCATTTACTCTCACATTGTTTATTTGTTCAGATGTTCTATTAGTTATAGGTCTAAGTGATTTCAAATATGTATTTTTTACGACTAGAGTGTATCTAAAATGTTTTTGAGAAAATAAATTGTTTTAGAAGTAAATAGTTTCGTCATGTTTAGTTTATAAAGGCATATTTTGATACACATCTTGAAGTGGGCCAACTGAAGTGGAAAGGGTCTCGTAGATAAAATCGTCGAATAGTGTTGAATTTTCATGTATCAGGTGTTTCTTAGAGGATATCAACTTTGAAGTATAATATAACAAAGAAATAAAAAAAAGACTATATAAAATTAATATAATTTTGGACGTGTATTTACATTAACATGAGACATTAAAGCTATAGCTTTTTTAACATTTCTTTGTTTCATTCAACATATAAGGACATGTATACTAAGTGACATATAAATCCGAACACCCAGTTTAAATGGTTTTATTTTAATAAAAGTTGGTGAATGTATTTATCTTACTGTAAATAACAAGTGAAAAAATTTTCAGCCTTATCAGTTGGACATTCCGGTTTTTATACTGCTTTTTTTTAATTCACTAACGCTCTAAAAATGAATATTTCAGCCGCAGTAAAGAATCAACGTTGGCGGATTTTGGTTCTTGACATCCTTTACGATCGGTTACGATGCCTAGAGTACGGAGACCTGTACGATTTCGTCAACTTAGTGAGTTTGATAGCGGCCGTATAGTGGGACTTCGGGAAGCTGGACTTTCTTTTCGGGCAATTGCAGTTAGAGTGCATAGAAGTGTAGACACTGTGGTTAGGTGTTATCAGGCATGGCTTCGAGAAGGCCGTACGCAAAGAGCAAGGGGCACTGGACGCCGCCGTAGAACAACAGACCGTGAAGATCGCCGCCTAAGATTATTGGCCTTAAGGGACCGTTTCTCCACTACCAGGTCCATTGCAAATGAATGGTTTGCAGTACACGGAAGACCTATTGGCATGCGAAGTATTTACCGACGAATGAGAAGTTTTGGCTTGTTTTCATACCGGCCACACTGGGTCCTCCCTTTAACTCGAGAACACCGACGTAATAGCCTTGAGTGTTTTTTGTTGAAAGACATGTTCATCACACTGTTGGAGTTATGGTTTGGGGTGCTATAGCTTATGGTTCCAGGTCACCTTTAATCTTCATCGGAGGTAACATGAATGCGCAGCGTTATATCCACGAAGTTCTAGAACCCCATCTTTTACCCTATCTTGACACCCTGGCAGATCCAACTTTCCAACAAGCTAATGCCCGACCACATGTTGCAAGAGTCACAATAGACTTCTTTCAACATAATGATGTCACATTGTTACCATGGCCACCAAGATCTCCCGACTTATCCCCAATTGAGCACGTGTGGGATATGATGGGTTGGAGATTGCTCAATTTGCAACGTCCTCCTCAGACTCTAGAAGCACTTCGAGAGGAGTTGGTGGTTGCCTGGAATGAGATACCACAGGAGGACATTGACCACCTGATCAGAAGCACGCCTAGGCGCGTTGGAGAATGCGTAGCACATCAGAGTGCATCCACACATTATTAAAGGTCAAAGGGCTTTAAAGCAGTGCAATCATTTTGAAATTTTTATCATTTACTTATTATGCTTCATTAAGTACTTATACAAAATTTTACTAAAATAAAACCATATAAACTGGGTGTTCGGATTTATATGTCACTTAGTATATTTATCAATTGCATAAAAACTGTATGGATATTTACTCAGATGAATGATGTGCGGGAGAGACGTTCATTTCTTGATGTTCATTATTAAGCCCAAAAAAGAGTGTTATTGTTTTAACTTTTGAGTCCGTGTATGTACTTGTTGTCCAAGGCACTACAGCTCCTAAGTGAATAAGCTGATTTTGCTTTCCTTTTTTGTTTGAATAGTTAACTGATTCAAATTGCTCTTAGCTATAGTACAAGAGAATCTATTCAGTCATTTAGTTCACAGTTTTTTAAGCTTTACTATATAGTGCTTTTCAAGAAAATTCCCTCCCGGTACTTATTTTTTGAATGGAAGTACTTTATGACCCTAGAATCCAAAATACGGTAAGGGTTTTTGTGCATTGTGTAACTCAACAACCAATCATCAAAATATATTATACCAATCTTATTCAATTAATATTAATAAAAGTACCATTCTACTTGAAAAAATTGTCATTATCTGTCATTTTTTTTAATCCAATGTCCCACATTTTATTGCACATTATATGCGATAGTGTACAAAACCGCACAACTTTGACAGCCAATTTGAAAGATTTTTCTATGCTCATTGGGAGCTTCAAAATCAGATATCACATGACCCTCATTTCATTCAAAAAGATGTTACATTTTTTACATTCATGATCTCGTATTTCAGCTTGCTAACTTTACTTGTACAAAAAATAGGTGGGGGACTTTTTTGAAAAGCGCTGCATGCATTTTTCAACTTTTTTTTATCCATTTGCAGCATGCTCGGAAACAAGGCGCAAAGATAGTAAAGGATATATGGGAAGAATCTGACGACAATGGCAAAGTTCGTTTCGCCAAAATCCAAACGGTAAGTTCCGGTCACATTTTTTAGTTATCTATGTTTTATGATGAGCATTATTTTTCAGTACGGTGATACCACCCACACTCTGGTCGATCGCTCAGCATACAAAGGGTTGTTTTTACCGTGCTACATGACACTACCCAACGATGAGTTAGGAAAGAAGCTGTAAGTATAGTTTTTTTAGTTTATTTTGCAAGCGGTCACGGACAAGAACTATTTTTTCTGGTGCACAGTTGTCTAGAAGGCACAATGCTGGCAAAAAGGATTGGTCCAAATAGCATTAACATGATTAAGAGTCAAAACTTCCTTATCATTATAAGTAGATGGACGCTGCAAGTAGCAAATGAAAATTAATGATATTATCATAAGCTTAACATATAAAACTCATTTTTTTGTCAAAAATGGACTTAATGGTTATGGCAGATATTGGCTGATATTGTCACTGCATTTACGACGAATTTATATTCACTTACCATGCATTAATATACGTTTATTTTCAAATTTCTGATACGTACAAATTTAATATTATAAATAATATAATATTAGTCATAACAATTTAAAAACGTGTGCCAAGTTCAACGTTTTTGAGGCCTCTTTTTGACTATACGCATCCATCATAAACTTGAAAAAATGCTGGAAAACATAATTTAAATAATCTGAATCTGATCTTGTTTTTTGAAAAAAGAAATTTTTTGCAGACCTCCAGGAAAACTGGACTTCGTGGACCATGTGGTAGGAAACCAGCCAGATCACCATATGGAATCTGTAGCGAAATGGTACGAATCGATTTTGCAATTCCACAGATTCTGGTCGGTGGACGACAGTCAGCTTCATACAGAGTATTCTGCTTTGAGATCCATAGTAATGGCTAACTGGGAAGAGACCGTTAAGGTAATAGTTCAGTTTAAAAATTGAAGATAAAAGCGTAAAATATGGTGAATAAGTTTTTCTTTGGAATTTAGAAATGGTGAAGGCTAGAATCATTTCCTATTGAGTTTCAACTTTTCTGAAGATGCTCGTTAGCTTCTTGCTGGTTGTTCTCTAAGTCTCCTAGGGATCATCTGGGGAGATTTTCTAACCCAGTGGGAGGGCTTGCGATGCAATTCAAGGTTATACAACGAGATCCAAGGAGATTAAGAAAATCGGCAGGGGTATCATGTAAAAAATCTATAAAACGTCAAAAAAATCTATAAGGTGTCACCTTGCAAACTAGGTAGTTTTTAGGGCGTATTCATTCCACGTTTGCTCACTAGGATCGTTGTGAACGTCCATCTAAGGAGGAATCACTCAACTAAACTACACGCATTATTGGTTCCATATGTTTTGTGAGGCCAAATGGTTCCTCTCTGTAGTTTTTATCCCTGAGAAGAAATTTGATTGAATAGCAAGATCGCATCTGGATGATTATGTGTATTGGTCTGCATATGTATGAAATCAGTGATATTTACTGTGTGAAAAAATCATTGCTGAATATGCTGCCAATGAAGTATATCTATTGGCTGTGCCCGACAAGTTATTTTTATGTTGTGCTTTCCAAAGAGAGGTTATGTTCAAAGGTATTAATTACGAAAAACTGAGGAGAATTACAGGAAATCATAACCGGCCCGCGTTGTTTGTAATTACATGATAGCATGTATTTAACTTGTAATTCGACAGTGTACAGTGAATATAATTATTTCTTATCTCTCTCGTTTTTGAAACTCAGCAAATTTGTATATGTAATTTCCAGAATGTATAAGAAAAAGTGGATGCGCAACTGATTTCTAACTGTGAATCTCCATTAAGTGTATTTGAGACAAGAACCCAATGTAATTATCATCAACACATACAACTTACAGCTTAGACCTCCAGTAATACCATCTCAGAAGCAGATTTTACAGCACATCAGAGCCAAAGATTGATAACAAGCCTCATGAAGTTTAGGCAACACGTACAACTAAGTGCTTAGTTAACATCTTGTAGAAAAACGTACATAATGTCAAAAAAAACAGCATAATGTCAAAAAAAATCGGCATAATGTGGTACGTGATACCCGTGCCGGTACAATCCAAGATCTGAGTTAATCAGAGGCAGTCTCTGATCTGCACAGATGACATGTTTTTAATTTTACTGATCCTTCGGTAGATCTTACAATTTTGTCCGATGTCGATAAAGAGGTCCGAGAAAATTCTAGGAAATCTCAGGATTTAAAAAGAAATAACCAAAGAGTGATCCAGCAGAATCCGGATTACCATTCTTTGAATTTTTCGAAACTCAAGTCCATCCAGCTCCTAATCTAGTTGGATTTTGCGCAGTTTTGTAGATAACGCGATGCAGTATTTTTTTGTAATATCGTCAATATTGGCAATAGTCAAGGAATCGCCCATTCAATGTTTGTTCACGCTTAAGAAACTATTTGGTTTTATTCCAGATGCCAATAAACGAACCGGCAGCAGGAAGAAAAAGAGTCAGATTCAAGAATATGTCGACTACTACGGAGGTGCTGGGGTCCAACACATCGCTTTGAATACTCAAGACATCATTTCATCGGTAAGCAGGTTCACTTTGTACTATTTTATATAGCAAGAACTAAAAAATGATCTCGAATGGTTTGAAGCCCCATGCTCTACCTCCTTAAATATTAATGTTATGTTTATGTTTTCAGTTGTTGTTGTTCATTATCCCTAATGTAGTTTAATTTTTTTCCAATTAAATTAATAATAATTTTGCAAGTTAGACAATGGAACGGTTTTTATTGCTTTACTCAAAAATGGCGCATCGAAGGAAAACAATTCCAGATAAATCATTTGTTTTAAATTAAACGGGGAATTCAAATATTATTTTTATTTAGCAAAAAACCATTGGCGTATCATTTTTTTCTTAAAAAATATCGAAGTTAATACCCGTACGCACGCCACTGTTAAAGCTAAAAATTATTTTTGCATTGAAAAATATGCAACATTATTAACTTTCACTACATACTAAATATCAGTGGAATATCTAAAGCGGTTCTGGAAATATTAATTAATTTCCATTTTCCTAAAACTTCAACACCCCGAGTTTTTATAAGGTAACATGTTTGGACCATAGTTTGAATAGCAAACTAACATTAATTTTTCATGTAGATTCACACCCTTAAATATTCGCATATCATTAGGGAACAACCTGTATAGATGATTTTTTACGTTATGACCACTTACGATTTTGAAATCATCTTAACCCTGAAACTCGAACATACCACACCCATGATTTGTTGACACTCCTCCCCCCAAACTTTTTTGGAAATTTCGTTTGATTTTTGGGAATTTGGGAGCCCCATCATGACGGCTCAATAAGCTCGTGCTTCTCTACTTTCTAAACGCAAATCAATGTGATTGTAAAAAAACATCCTAAATGCTTCGTTTTCCAGGTGAGAAACCTGAAAGCAAGAGGCATAGAATTCTTGCAAGTTCCGGATACATACTACGACATGCTGAGACAGAAACTGAAGCACAGCAAAGTGAAGGTGGTCGAAGAGTTGGACATTTTGCAAGAGCTGAAGATATTGATCGACTACGACGAAAATGGATACCTCTTACAGATCTTCACCAAAAATATGCAAGACCGGCCAACTCTGTTCCTTGAAGTCATCCAGAGAAGGAACCACAATGTACGTATTTGGATCAAAAACATATCTATAACGATATTTTCTGACAAAAAGTATCTCCAAAAACGAGTAGTGACAAAACTTGTACTTCAAAATTCAAACAAAAGTTTGCGTTCAAGCGCGACGTAATTTTCAGAGTAGATTAATAAGTTTTTTCACGCGTGCCCTAGGAATGCCTTGCCTTAGGCTGCCATTAGGACACCAATTCTTGAAAACTAAGGAGTAGAGAACAACTACTAGAAAGTGGGCTTGGATGCTTTTTCTGGCGTTTAATATCAAAATGAATTTCTGATAGTCCGGCAAGTTGACGTCTTAAAGAGAAACCTACAGTGGCAAAAAACGAGAATGTCACTTTAAGAAAAACGTTAGTTATGATTTGATTTGCAAATTCCAAAACCAGATAATCTGTTAAAAAATGACCTATACCTATACCCTATTTCACAAGTATCCATCACGCTTTGACGTCTACTGAGGTGAACAGCTCATCAGCAAGTAACATTTTTGCGTTACAGTCTGCAACGTTACTATAATGAATCGGGTGTAAATATAGCAAAGATTTGTTTGTAGCGTTTTGTTTTTTCTATGCAAATGAGCTTTTCTAAATAAAGCAGCTTTAATAAAGTACAAAATATGAATCTGTAGCGTACCGGAAACCAAAACAAAATATGGCTCTGTCCACGTGGCATTGATAACCAGCTGTCATTCAACCGTAATGGATACTCGTGAAGTAGGGTGCTAGTTCAACTGTTAAAAATAAACGCACGCACAGGTAGTAACTATAATCCTTTCTGTGGTTGCTTTATTTATTCGAGTAATTTATGCTGTACTCTCATGGTGTTGTAAAGCATCATATCGAATAAACTAATATCAACTTTGTCTTGGTGGGAAATACCTCATTTTCTTTTCTGAAAGATAGAATCGGAGTTTTTGTTCCATAGTTCCAAATACTCATTACTATTCACAAAGAGCCATATTTTTTTAATGGAATTCTTGAAACTTATCCTTTGTTTGGCCAAATCAAATCACATATATGTTTTAATTTTGTTTATTGTACGTTTCCACCACCGTGGCTTTTTTCAAGCACAATATCAATTTACGACAGTTTATTCTTACAGGTTGATTTATTTTTTCTTTTCTCCATTCCTATACACTGTGTTGTGACAATAGACAGAACTGTCCTGTAGCATGATGGTTAAAAATGGATGAAGGAAATGAAATTAATAATATTCTCCAAGCCGAATGATGGACCATAAGTTTTTTAATACCAGTTTTTTTTATAGTTAGTTATTGTATCTCAAATACGCAGATCTTTCATTTCACCATCCCACGGTCCAGCTATTGTATCTTATATTATTTCCTCACAAGGCAAACAGCATTGTTCACATGTCGAAGTACTATTTCTTCCATTTCAGATTAATGTACAATGCACATTCGGCATTAGTAGTCGAAGATTGAATAACAATTAACCGGCAGAGTTATTACGTAAAAAACCTATATAAAGTCAAAAAACCCAATAAAATTTCAACTTCAAGTAGGCTAGTGTGCAAATAGCCCATTCCGCGCTTGGTACAAGTGAGCATGAAGTGAACGTCAGCTAGTTCCAAATTGTAGGAAGACTTACCCAATGTCATAAAAAACCCACATAATGTCAAAGAAAACCGACACTTTTCAAGTTACGTAATACCCCTGCCGTATGTTGCGACAATAGCGCAGGGTAGGTCCTTTCGCTTTCTCAAAGGGCGTTTAGCGTTTTCGGGACGATGAACGAGGCTGATGTGTCTGGTACATTAAAAAAAATACGACAGATAACCTCATGCTCGCTTGTCGCTTTGGGGTGCTGGAAGTGCTTTGGAAACCTGTACCGTCTTAAAAAAAGACAAAAACATACTGTCATCGTACTTAAAAAGGTCACCGTGATGGCCGAAACGTCGTACAAGAAACAGAAATTAAGCCATGTATAGTTTGATTCGGCCAGAAAATAGAATCACAAAGCTTAGCTTTACTCAAATATCTAAATTCGTCTTCTCTTGTATTTTTTCAGGGGTTCGGCGCAGGAAACTTCAAAGCCCTCTTTGAAGCCATTGAGTTGGAACAAGCTAAAAGAGGCAATTTGTAATGTTGCATTACATTAAAAAAAGAAAACCCTGATATAAGATTTTTACTTTATACACTTTATTAATAACTGCTTTTCATAATATACAAAAATAAATATATCATTAATATAAGAAAATAGAACTTAAACATTTGTACTTAGACACTTTAGGTTTTATCATCCACTATGTAATATCGCTGAGTTATTTTAAGGAGGACGTTCATAATAAGTAATTTTAGTTATTTTGTATTTCATATGATATGTTAGCTATGTTGGTGCTGTAGACAATAAAACATCACTTTGTTTCAATTGTCTTGCTGTTTTCTTGCACCTCCTGAGATGTGACTGTCAGATCCCAATAACCTGAAAAAAAAATATATATATATATATATAAAGAGAAATATCATGCGGAGAAATGTATATAACAAAAAATAGGAAATAATGGGCAAAATCCGCAAAAAGAAGGAAAGTGGATTCGAGCAGAAAATAGGATAGGTAACCCGAGCGATACGTATTTCTGCTGGTTGGCTTCATCAGGCCCGAAATGAATGCACATATGTAACAACAACAGTAGATACACATTCCCATACATCCGGGTACGGGTGTATCGTGAGGAAACGAAGATGAAGGGAAAAACATCACACACAAAGTCAACAACAAGAGCCAACCTACACATTGTAGTAGAAAATGGCTAGAATATCTCGAATTTTCAAGGAGACATCTAACCACAACCACGCGGCCGGTTATAGCCACTTGCTGTGGTACTTCAAACCACATCTAGGTGGTGATTTGTATTTTCTATTGAAATCGCAAAATAGAAACTTATTGAATGAATATTAAATTATTGGAAATAAAAAGTAATGTAATAACCGTTCTAACCTGGCATAGTATCTGGGGGAGGGTTGTACTTGTATCTATGTCTAGAGCAAGCATCCATTTTCCTTTTCAACTCTTCTGGTGACAAATTCATGTTACTATAGAACTGCAAAAAATATAAATATGAGAACTGCCTACAGTGTGTTAGGACTAGGATTGCACGACTCATATGCAGTATAAAAGGTAGGGTACTGCCTATAAGTTCAATGATTTTACTTACATTTCGACACTCCTGACATGAAAATCCTGGCAACAATTTTCTTGCTTTGCCTCTGACCACAGGATTAGGTAGTACTTTTTGCCTTCTATAGATAGAAAAAGTAATTACACTAATTTCCTTTAAAATATAAGCAGAGATACTGAAATCTCTGATGTCATATATATGCTTACTTAGGTGGGATCTCTTGAGGTGAAGCTATGTCACTGTCATTGAGAACAATAGCATTTGAAAATGCATCATTACTACATGACGAGATGTCTAACGGCTCATTTTCTGACTGAATGTCATCCATGTTAGGCTTTGCTGCAGCCTGATTCATATAATCTAAGAAATCTGTAAGCCCTTCAGTTGCACTCTCATCGATTCGAGTTTCATCAGAATCATTCTCATCATCAGCATTTCTTAAAAAATGGATATGGTCAATAGAAGCAATTTATAAAAAAAAGATGAAGAAAATTCAAAACATAATAAAATGACGCACACATTCTATACTTACATCTTAGATGGATTATAGAAAGCACTACGGTACATCTGTGTCAAAGTTGTATTTTTCTTTTTTCTACTCTTTTTTGTTGTTCTACTTGAAATCAAACTTGTGACAGGTTTAGAAGAAACATCTGGAGTACCAGCTATCACAGATTCATCAGCATCAGATTTTCTGGGAGTGAAAATATTTCTCTTAAATCCCAAATCTATGCTGTCATCAAACTTTCTGTTCAAGTTTTTGTGCTTGAATTTTTTCTTTCTTTTGTTAAGTGTGGGACTGCATTCAGTCTTAGAGATTGGAACATTTTCATCGGACAGAGAAAGGTCTATTATCGTAGAGGAAGTATTGGAATTGTTTTCATTCGAAACATTTTGGTCTATGACTTTGAACAAGTCTGGACTTTCTAGTGTTGTGCTTAGTCTCGTTTTTGCAATTGGAATATCCATGTTTTCTGGAACAATATTTTATGTAATATATGTATGTTCACCTCTCTTATCATGCTTTTGTGTGCCAATAACTGTAATCCCCTCTTACAGTAACACCAATTTATAAAATTACTCTCTACTCTATGTTGTACTAGTTGAGGTAGAAGAAAGTAGAAACAAATCTGAACTTTAAACTAACTACTCTGAAAATGTAAGGTTGCCTAAATTCTGTATGACAATTATTAAAATAATAAGTGAGGTTTCAGTTATTAACTAGTTGCACTATAGATCATGACTTTTTATATACGTAAAAGGCAGAACCATGTGAATGAATATACCTTTATCTTTCACTTTGGGTGAAATTTTTGAACAGCCACTGAAAAATAAAACAAAAGTATGTTTCATTAGAATATCCACCAACAGGCTACTACTTGTAGCACATAATACTCTGAAGGAGTCAGTAGTACATAATACTCTGAAAGTGTCAGTAGTACATAATAATCTGAAAGTGTCAAGAGGAATTTAACCTGTAACATACTATAGGCAAAACTATAGTCTGTTCATACAATGCATCATTCAAAAACGTTTAGCTTTGTGTAAGCAGGTAGATAACAGCCTTATGAATTGAACTCTGGCTGTTCTTAAATTAAGAGTCTTGTCAATATTATAAACAAATATCAATTCAGGGATGAAGGATCCTTCACCATTTAAGACCCAAATTAAACTTTATTGTATTAGGCTCAGTTCGGGGGGTAGCACATTTTCTTAGGGTAAAATACCAAATCCTATGAATCCCCAAAATTGAACACAAAATCATCTAAATATGCAAATTTTAAGGTCCACAGGATTATCGGGGGACCCCCTCCCCTGTGGACAGCCCATGATTATCTTACGAATTATTCATTTCCTCCAGAAAATCTTTGTGTTCCAACTGTTTCCTCAACTTTTTCATTTCATTCTCCACGCCATGATAAACATCTAAAACATAATTATCTTGGTATAGTGAGTTGTAAAATAGGGAAAATGTCAACAGCAGTACTTTTTAGCTCCTTCCTCAATGCAGTCATCACCATTGCAGCTTTTCGTAATTCCTGTCTCTCGTATTGCCATATTTCTGCGATATCATCATCAAACAGCTCTACCCAGGTGTTATAGGATGCTAAATTCATGATGGTTAAACAATATTTATGAGTTCGAAGCGATTTTAAACGATCATCGTTCAAATCACAAGCATAAATACTGACACTGATTCAAACTTTAACTTTTAGGTTAAGTAACGCAGTGTCAACAACTGTCAAGTTGCCATTCGGTACGGAACGAAATGGGTGGTCAAAATTTAAATAATATGAGATGTATTGAACAACGTTGGAGACATGCCATTCGCCACATTGTGTGGGAGCGCTAACGGATTGCATGTGTCCAACGTTCGCCACATGGCACGTTCGAGCTCTTAACGATAAATTTGACCCGCGACAGAGGACGTTACAACGTTGGAAGCATAGTTCGTTACGCTCCCGCACGAGATGTCATGTGTTTGATGATTTTAGGTTAGAACCAGTAGGGGCGACATGTATACATTGCGTATACAATGAATAAAATGATGAAGACAATAATCAAATTCAAGCGGATAACCAAATGGAAATGGTATTTACCATTTTAGGTTGCTATTTACCAATCCGTTCAAGCGAGTGTAGTTATCAGTTTGATTATAAGATCCGTGACGTCACGAATCAGCTGTTATATGTCATAGTTATCACCGCAAAATTGTGGTATTTACCCAACTCAAGAGTAGTTTTATATTTCTGGTTATTATTTGAAATGTGACAAGTTAGAATTTTGCCGGGTATTGGATATTGTTATTGTACTTCAGCTTCATTTTTGAGAAAAATGATACAGGCTGACATCAGTTTTACCATAAAGTGGAGCACCTTATTAGTTATACTCATTACGGTTGTTGGGGACACTTTAAATGTAGTTCCTATGCTCAACAAAGTATCCTGTGTAGCCATATACCACAAGAATATTAAAATATGGCCATGTAAACTCACTAGATGATATCCACCTGTATACGGTTTTGCTAATTTCTTTTTTTCATCATTTCTGCGGAATCAATAAATGCTTTCTTTGACATGCGGAAAAATTTAGAGAATTGAAAGTTATCATAGCTACAAAGCCATGGTTCAATCATTAAAAAAAAAATCTGAAAAAAACATTTCTCCTATGAATTTTATGAAAGTTTTCTTATTTAAACTTTCCATATACAGTTGTAGACGAAAAAGCACCGATTATTAAGGGATAATAAAAATAATCAGAGATTATATACGCGCTTTTCTAAAATAAACAACTTGCAACAAAACCGCGGTTAAAACCAACGCGTTCAAGCGATTCATGTAACTGACGTCATCAACCCGTATGTCATCTTGAACCATATTATAACCGCGGCACATAACACAGAAATTTTGGTTATTCGCTTGGATTTGATTAATGTATAGAATAGCATAAGTGAGGTTAGATTTATTCGCAAACGTCAGAAAGTTGGTAGACAGTGAACCGACAACTTAAAAAAATATGGTTGGACGCTCCAAGAACAAAGAAATCGATGAACTAGGGCTTATTTAATGTTCCTAATTTATTTAAAACCGTATCTTTGTATACGAATATAAATAAATATATATTTTTCCATTATTTATAAACTGCTTCCACAGTCAAACCAATAATGCAATGTTGCAGAATTTGTATCTAAGCTGAACTTTCATTTCAACCTAAAATCAGAGAACTATTAGGATCGATCTGGAATTGATCCCAAACAGATTCGACAGAAATGTGTATTTGAGCGTAGAAAACAAGGCGTTGCAGCAAGTTACAGTTGTGTTCTGTGGCCTTCAACACTGTTGTGCCAGGTAACGTGGTGTGTGGCGCACTCTTTCTACACAAGTGGTACCCGCTTGTCCCCCTCTCTCTCACTCTTCCTCGTACACATGAAAATCTAAAAGGGAAAGGGACTTTCGCTAGCACTATATGCAAGTAGTTGAACTATGTTTTGCTATTGTATACATTTTATACATTGTATACGTGAATATCGAGACGTATATATTCACCATTGTATACGCGTACACAATGGTGTATTATTCGTGGTGTATACAATGCGCCCATCATTGCTTGTAATACTTGCCACCTGGCTTGCGGCGTTGCCATAATAATAATGTATTACAGGGTGGCCAAGATGAGGATCAGACTAAGTTAAATTCAGTAATTAAAATTACATCAAGCGTTTGTTTGCAACGCCTCGGTACTTAAAATGAAAAAATAGAAAAAACACGTTTGCTTATAACTTAAAAAAAACAAATGTAACGTGATACATCGTTGAAGTCGTAGAAAAAGATGCTATTAGATACAGGGTCGTACTTTTTTAAATGTTGTGCACTTCGGCCACATTTAAAAACACCCTTATGCAGTGACATTAGTTTTTTGACATTTCTTATAATTAAGTCACGAAAATAAAAACGATTTGGCCAAATTTTAGTTTTTCCCAAATACCTCAGTGTATGACTAATCTCTCAGTGTATGCAATGTGCGCAATTTTTTTAAAAAACAAGATGTCAACCCTAACCATTGAGACAATACTTCAACAAATTGATGTTCTCCCTTCGACATCGGTGTAGCCTGCGACATATTCTGGCTTGCGATACTGGAATTTTATTGTTGTGATTCTTGTCAGCATTTTTCGAAGATTTAAGTCACTGACATATTGTTTTGGAGTAAAATGTAAAGGCTATATAGTTTGAATCATTGATTAGCATAAGGCATATAGGAAGAACAAAGGCAAGGGGTAACGTCACTTATATGTTTGATTAACATATTCAACCTGAAGATAGTCAAAAAATCATATCTACCCGTACAACTTATTGGAGCACAAGGGAAGACACATATTCACATGACGCCAATACTGGCGATAAGAAAAGACGCAATGGCTATGGCATCTAGCCCGATTTCATTCTCAACAATTTGGCTTCAACCTCACTCAATGAGTTTACCCTCGTATATCTAGTCCATCTATTGGAGTATCCCAAGTTCGTTCCATATCGAAGTGTTGAGTGTAAAAGGGGCAGTAACGATATAAGGGCATCCATACACATTAAAAATAAATGTAACCTGCCATTCCTCCTTTTTATAATAGTTGTTTATGCATCTAGCGCCTTAAGTGAGCAGTTATTTCAGAGTAGCTTTTAGCAAAAATCAAAAGCAAGAATATTTAAATAAATAAACTGACAGTATATCGTAACCACAGAAAACTAGTTCATAAAGTACATCCCAGACGAGATAAAATCTTCTTGGGTGATTATATAACATATTTATATTGTATATTATATTATTATATGTATAATAAAATACATTTATAAGGATTTAATAATTTATTGCATTAAAATGTTACTACACATTATGAATACCTATCCATACAAATTATTCAATCATGGTCATAGTCCGCAGGAACATGCTATAAGAGAACATCGTCTTGATTGCCTGAAAATTAAAAGATACAAATTAAGATATTCAATAAAACATGGGCGCACCTGCAGGAATTTTTCTCAGGAGAAGAAGATCAGTGGCAAGAGATAATTTCTTGTGAAATGTACCTGTCCAAAAAACTTTTTGGAGAGCTGGGGGTACCAAATTTTCCTAGGTGGGGGGGGGGTCAGGGTGCAAGTCCTAAAAACCCTCAACATTGTACACAAAATCGTGCTAAATATGTAAATTTTAAGGTCCGACAGGATTCCAAATGGGGCCGGGACCAAAAATTCAATTTGTCAATATGGTTCTAAAAGCTGCAGTTTCCAGTCAAAGTTTCATTTGGCCTCACGATAAATGAATCCCATGGTCAAGCACTTTCTCTGGTGGGCACTGTCTTGAGAATGGAATATTTTTCTGGACAACCAATGCATTTTGCTACCAGACAATTGTACATCAAACATAGGAAACATACACAAAAAACCATAAGACAAGTTTCAGATGCTACATCAACCAAAAAATGGTGTCACCACTTAACTTATGTTTGAATGTTTATGGTGACCATGTTGAAAAATGTTTCTAACTCGATTGCAAAATGGTTCTTACTTAAAAAATGACCCTCGTATAAACCGTTACTTCAATGCTATAATTTTTAGGTAAGTAACTGTGGCATGCTGGCGAGCTATAGATTTTCGACTGTACCAATGAACCCAGAATTGTGGAACGACTTGATTTTTCTTCACCCGATACAATTAATGTGACAGTTGACGTTTTCTAGGGGTTTCCCTCGCCCAAGTGCGAATCCAGTCACTAAAAAAACCATATTCCCCTAATAAATAGAGAAAATGAAAATAGTAGTTCTCTTATTAATGATCATGTAATTTTAGATCAAATAGTTATTAAATATATTTAAATAATAAAACTTCGTTTTTTTCTATTGATAGGAGAAGTCCCGTATGTGTAAAAGAAAAACTCACAAATATATTTTATCCTATAAAACTTTGAATTTATAAAAGTGTTTAGAGTCATTAACGTTCCTCCACATAGATGGTGGGAGAGCTACCAAGCTGAAAGTCGGGATAATGAAATTGATGCATTAATACTATATTTTAATGTAAAAATGAAAATGTCAAGATGGCGTCTGAGCGCACATTTAAGAACATTTTTTTAAGAATGAGCAGTCGTGTCATCTAATTTTGAAGCTCTTCACTTTATAACTCTAGAATGTATATCATTTTTGTAAATGACGAGCTGACAGACTGTCAAAGTTGAGCATGTTTGTACATTGAATCGCTTATAATTGAACATCCAGTCATCAAAACGCTATAGTATCTCATATAAGTATTCTTCTATTGGAAAGGTTTTTTTGAATATGAGAGAGATATGGAACAGTCCATTAACAAAAAATGTCAATGTCTCATATGTTATTGTGTGCTTCAATAAACAAAAACGCTCAACTTTGATAGCTTCCCAGTCCGCCATTTTGTAAGGTGCTGATCTTATAATCTATGATTATAAAGTGCTAATGAGATTATCTTCAAAACGAGATATGACACGACCCCTCAGTCTTTAAAAAAATGTTCTAAGATGTCGCCTATCCTCAATCTTGAATTTATAACTAAAGGGTGTCTCAGAAATATTTTCGTTTTTAGATCAGTCCTCTGGCGGAATACGCATGCTCCGGAGAAACGAGACAGTTGACAAACGTTTGGCAACATTGTTAAATTTTAGTTGCAATGGAGCGTTTTACAGGGCCGCAACGTGCTTTTTGTGTTCGCGAGTTCTATAAAAACAAGGATTCTTATGTGCTTGTACGTCGTTTGTACAGAAATCATTATAACATAGCAAGAATGAGAGATGTCCCAAGCGCAAATTTAATTAAATATTGGGTAAGAAAGTTCGAGAGCTCTGGAAACACGTGTATTAGTAAACCGCCTGGACGGCCAAGGTCAGCAAGATCGAACGAAAATATTGAACGTGTGCGCCAGTCCGTTAACGAGGATCCCCGGCAATCATTAAGACTGCGTGGAGCGTCTCTAACTTTGCATAAGTCAACTGTTCATCGCATTATTCGCAAGGATTTGCATTTTCACCCATACAAGATTGTTGTTACACAACAATTAAAACCACAAGATCCCGCTAATCGATTAGAGTTCTGTAGAACAATGAGAGAGCATTTTAACGGTTACAACAACATATGGTTTTCTGATTAATCGAATTTTCACATTAACGGGCATGTTAATAAACAAAACTGCCGATATTGGGCCGAGCAGAACCCGCAAAATCTTCATGAGACGCCATTACACTCGCCTAAAGTTATCGTCTGGGCTGCTATGTCAGGGCAAGGAATCATTGGCCCGTATTTTTTTGAAGACAATCGTGGCCAAGCTCAAACTGTAACATCTGAGCGCTACTGCCACATGATTAGGACTTTTTCAACTCCAGCTATACAGAACCATGGTGGCTACAATAGAAACACGTTTTTCCAGCAAGATGGAGCGACTTCTCATGTCACGAATGAATCCTTGGATGCTCTTCATCAGTTATTCCCAGAGAGGGTCATCAGTCGCAGAGGAGACATTAACTGGCCACCGAGAAGTCCCGATTTGACACCAGCAGATTTTTTCTTATGGGGATACCTGAAGAGTAAGGTATACACCCCACCGCCACAAGATTTGAGAGAGTTGAAGCAAAAAATAACAGATGAAATAAACGCCATTCCTCGAGCAATGCTTCGGAGAGTGATCGAAAACTTCAGTTCGAGATTAAGAGAGTGTGAAAACATGAACGGTGCTCATTTATCCGATACTCTTTTCCATAAATAAAATTAATGTTTAGGCTTTCGTTTGGTAATAAATTTATCTTTGTAAAAATATTCTAAGTATTTTTATTTATGGCATAAAATAAGAAAATATTTATGAGACACCCTTTATTACCCCGAATGACAGCTAGCTAACTTGACGCGTTCAAAAAATAAGTTTCTTTGAAAAGCACTGTATGTAAAGTATCGACAAATCAAAATTATATGGATTCCATAGAACAATATTGGGTCTGTTGTATAAAGGAAACCTTATTAAAAAATTATTTTTGAGTGTTATCTATGGGTATCGCTCTTTATGGTCAGCTCACCGCCATTCCTGTAGGTAGATCCAAATCTAGTAGTCCTCCAGCAGTAAACACAACCCTGATTTGGCTTTTCCCAATCAACATAAGTATTTCTTTGCTGTGATTTGGATAGTCGTACCAGTTACTGAAGTATATGCTGTTTGCCAGTTGTTCTGCCTGAAAATACCGTATGGTCAGTATTATCAGCTTACAAAAAGTAGTTCTGATCACAAGTTATAATCTTGGACAATTAATGATGAACAAGATCATGAAGTAACTGTGTAGGTGTGCATGCGAACGTGGTTTGTAAGAAGTCGATTAGTCCAGGCTGACTGTAAAGGTACGTATACTTTATCTGAAGTCACTTGAAACACTGTGAAATACCGGGTGCGTTTTATATATCTATATTTAACACGCTCTGTTGCTGCAAAAATCACCAAAGTTCGCAGCAAATATCCCCCGTATAAGAGATCAAAGGCAGTTTCACCGGTCCACGTGGAGTAAAGCACGCCTATGCGTGGACATAGCCAATGAGAAAGCGTGTATTTCAGAGCTCTGAACAAGTGCAGGTGGCTACTGAAAATTGAAACAGTTTAGCCAGTGCCGTGTAGCGGTGAATAAACGTGTTTTCTTTAGTCTGTCCGTGTTTTTTCATAGATTTTATTAGTTTGTGTATTTTTGACTTTTGAATACTCAGTTTACTTGTTGATTTAATTGTTGTATTGATTGTTCTTGTGTGTCCTAAATATGGCTCTTTGGAGACCTTGGGAAAATGCTCCAAGCCACGAGGAGATGGTTGATGAACCTGTGCAGGCAGAATTCTTTCATAAAGATTTAGAGGAACAGACCCAAAGAGAAATCCTAAATATGTATGATTGTCTGAAAAACGAAAATCCAGATTCCTCGCAAAATCAAATTTTAAACAGAATTTGTATCCTGACAAAAATCAGTCGATAAATGTATCGGGTTATAAAAAGGGGAGATGTAGTCAACCATTCCTTCCACAGAAAGCGCATAGGGCAAAAATTAAAAAGAATAGACGTGGGTTTTCAGGAAGATATTCGTCGTATAATATACGGATTTTATAAAGAAAATTTGGTGCCCACGTTGGAAATGATACGGGATAAATTAAAAGATTATCCTGAAGATTTTTATAATTACAAATGCTTAGACTCACTGCACTGTATTGTAAAACTGTATGGTTTTCAATACAAAAAATTAGATAAAAGAATGGTGATTATGGAGTCGTTTCGAAACGTTGAATTGCGCCAAGAATTTTTGCACAAAGTTAAAATCTATAGAGAGCAGAAAAGAAATCTGATTTACCTGGATGAAACGTGGTATGATACCCATGATGTTGTGCAGTACGGCTGGGTTGACGACAGCAACAAGTGCATTTTAAATGCACCATGCAACCGTGGAAAACGAATCATTATTCTCCATGCTGGCAGTGAAAATGGATTTATACCTAATGCCTTGCTGTTATCTGCCAAAAATATCAAAGAATCATGTGCCGACTATCATGAGGACATGACCTCCGACTTATTTGAAAAGTGGATAGAGCAGCAGTGAATACCAAACATTTCCCCAAATTCAGTGATTATTATGGACAATGCGCCATACCATTCCCGACAGAAAAACAAAATTCCGAATACAGGCACAAAAAACAAGACATTATTGATTTTATGAAGGATAAGGGAATGGAAATACCACAAAAATCAACCAAAGCCATATTATTGGATCTTATTAAAAGACAAAAATTTGAAAAAGAGTATGTTGTTGACAATCTGCTTCAGCAAAATGGCCATGAAGTATTACGTCTACCTCCCTATTACTGCATTTTTAACCCGATTGAGTTGGCATGGGCTGCTTTAAAAAAAAAGTAAGAAAACATAATCAGACCCCTCAATTAAGTGAATCGCTATTGGCCACAATAAGAGATGCAGTATCTCATATTGCTGCCACAGACCTATGAAAGCAGTGTTCTAGGCATATTATTGAAAAAGAAAATGAATATTGTGTTTTGCCTCCTGTAAATCCCGTTGTAATTCCTCTACAAGATGACTCTAGCGACAGCTCCGAAGGCGAGGATGATATATAAATACCTATAATGTAAGTCTTTATATACCTTTTTATATACCTACCTGCTATGTAAATATTTGCCTATGTCAAACGTTGGAATTCTGTAATTTTTCCATTTCTTAACTTTCAGTCAATATAGATTAAACTCCCAATATAAGTATTTTTTATCCCAAATCAAAAAAATAAGAAGATAGTAAAATCCATTTATTGTGATATAAAAACATTATTATTATCGTTCTAAATAAATAACCGCACGCCTATGATACGTCATGAAATTACAAAGGACGCGCCGACCAAAGGTTTTTATGCTATTTCAAGTGACTTCAGATAAACCATACGTGGATGTTTTCTGAAGTAGCTGAGGTTTTTATCGGAAGTATTTCAGGATACCTTGTATAAGAAGAGTATCGATATGCGTCTGTCGAGCGCCATGGAGATTGGTTAAAAGTGATTTAAAAAATCGCGATTGATGCTGGTACTTTTTCTCACGTTTTATGTTATACAGGGTGGCCGATATGTAACTGACTGGTTTGTATGTTGAATATTTGTGAAATGAAATAAAATACGTCAATTTTTTTCATCTCAACATTTTATTGAAACTTAGAAATTATGTTTGAAAAATAATATCAGACAAATGTCCGCCTCTAGAAGCCGCGCAAATCTGAGCCTTCTTGATTACATCTTCCATCACTTTTTGGCTTGGGGAGGAATATTCTCAATCGCTTCCGTAATATTGTTCTTCAGCTGCTCTGCATAAGCCCTATTTATCAAAAATCCCCATAAAAAAGTCAGAGGCCGTTAAATCCGGTGACCTTGGTGGCCAGTTGACGTCACCAAATCGAGAAATTAATTGTCCCGAAAATATTGTTCGCAAAAGATTCATTATTTCCCTAGCTGTGTGACAAATAGCTCCGTCCTGTTGGAACCACATGTTTTGCAGGTTAAATTGTTGGATTTGGGGAGCCAGAAAGTTTTGCAGCATACTATTCGTCATTTGTTTGTCTGGGCAGTCCGTAGGACCTTTGCCCATTAGTCACTGTCTAATGTACGTCAGTCGAATCTCTCAGTACTGGTTGCACAGAAACCAGACAACGTCAAGGAAAAATAGAAAGGGAAAGAGAAGAAAGATGGAGAAGGGCAAAGTAAAACAGAAGTGTTTAGTTTAAGAGCTTTTTGACTTGATACACGGATTAATTTTGAGGTGAACTAAACAAATTTTTGATTCAATTTTGTTATAGTGTAGTTTTAAGTGTACTAAAAGTTCGCGCCAATTTTTGATTACAGTGCGAGCCGTGGCCTTGAATGTTTACGAACTTGCTCCACTGTGTAGTCCACTGAGTCGCGCAACAGATGGTTGTTGTGCGATTCAGCTTGACTATAACGTCGCTGCACCTGAAGTTTGATATAATCCCCCAAGTAAGAATGTCAATGTCTCTGTGTAGTGTCTCGTTTGGGACATACCATGGAGCGTTGCAAATTGTTCGCAAAGTTCTACTTTGCTGTACTTGAAGACTTTGCATATGTGTCTTAGCAAGAAAACACCAAGCCGCACATGCATAAGTAATGGCTGGTCTAATAATCATTTTATATAGGCGAACTTTATTTATCAAACTCAATTTGGTGGATCTACATAACAAAGGATATAGTTGCCGAAACGCAATTTGGAATTTTGTTTTCAAGGCTGCTGTATGTTTCTCCCAAATCTTGCCTATATCAAGGGTGACACCGAGGTACTTGGCAGAATTTGTCCATGGTACACGATTGCCGTCTACAGATACCTCTGCTGAGGGGCCGCGACGTTTTTTGGTACAACAAGTAGCCTGCGTTTTCGAATGATTAATTTTAATCAGCCACCGTTCCGCTCACTCTAGTACTTCTTACACCGCACTTTGCAACCCATCGTGAACCAGATCACCAGTACACGACTGGGCGACAAGTGCAGTGTCGTCAGCATAAAGGTAGACTTCACAGTTGCTGGGGCAAGGGACATCATGGATAAAAAGCGAATATAGGATTGGTCCTAGGACCGAACCCTGAGGAACACCGGCCCGTACTGGCCGTGTTGTTGACAAAACATTTTTAATTTTGATCCGAAACTTCCTTCCTTCAAGAAAGGATTTCAATAATTTGAGAAGCCCTTTTGGATAAGTTTATAAAGTTTATAAAGCAAGATGCCAGTACTCATGCTGAGGGTGAACCCTCTGGTTACATGTTCCACCAACCTGACTGCATGTAGCTCGATGCTATGCTCGGACCGAAAACCGAATTGAACGTCAGGATCACATGGTGATTTGACGAAAAATTCTCAAGCTGACAGCAGACTTATGGGACGGTAATCCTGAGGAAATTTTGCAGCATATCACGGTAGCGCTCGTCAGTGACAGTAAGAGAATTACCTGCAGCGTCTTCAAAGAAGTAAGATCAAATGACACGTCCATAACAAACACCGCACCAGACTATGACTCGACAAGGATATAGTGGTCGCTGATGGATAACACGAGGGTTCTCTAATGCCCAATTCTGCTTATTAAAAAAACCGCTCATATCGAAGTGGGCTTCATCGCTCATTATCAGTTGTCGGTAAAAATCGTTATTTTGCGTACTAAGCTGCAATATTGCATGACTGTATTGTCGGCGATCTTCATGGTCACTAGGCTGTAGTTCTTGGGTTAACTGAATTTTGTATGGACGCTAATGCAAGTCTTTTTTCAAAATAGTGCATAATGACGTGCGACGAATACCCAGATCTTGAGAGCAATGTCGGGTAGACGTCTCGGGGCGCTAGACTACACTTTCACGGACTCTCTCTATCGATATTCTTGTTAACCTCTATGCCCTTCGATATAGAAGCCAGCTTCTTTAGAAAACATCAGTTGAAGCCCATTGATGAAGACCAATTTAACAGAATATTGTTTGTCGAGAGACTTAGTGCAGTCTTATTAGTAACTCTGTATACAACTTTTGTACAATCCAGGACGAATGCGATTATAATGAAATGAAAAATGACAATGATATATCGACGAACTACTTACATCAACAGTCAAATCTTGGGATGGATAGCAATAACAGATAAAAAATTCAAAAAATATGAAACCTGAATAGGCTAGAATCTTAATTATGTGTTCTATTGAATCCCTACAAAAAAATTATCAACTTTCATCTCTGATACTTCCATAGAGCGGACTTACATTTGAAAAAGTAAATATACCTCAAAACACAAGATTAACACCACCACTGCTATGTACGCCAACATTAAGTATGAAAAAGCTTCGTTTAATATATTCCTGAACCTAAAAAAAAGTTAAATATCGGATATGATCTGGACCTATTATAGAAGAGTAAAAATTGCTAAAGATGGCCATGTCATATTCAAAACAAAATTGTATAAATGAACTAAGTTACAAAAGTGTGATCCTTAAAATTAATATATTCTAAGCGATGGGTCAAGGAAATATTATTTATGAGATGTCAGGAAGTCCTACCAGATAAGAAAGCCTGTTGGGTTGAGTTTGATAGGATTTCGGTCACTGTGTCACTGTGACACATTCTGAGAGTGATTTAAAAAAAGATCCCAAGCTGAATAAAGCATGTGTGATGTGTCTTTCAGATACAATTTCCTCAAGATATCACCAGAACTAAGTTAGTATCATTTAATATAACAAGTGATTAATATGAGAAAAAACAATGTTTGGTAAATGATTAAGCTTCTGGTAGGATGTCAAATCGACAGATTTGGGTCCTCCCGCCCTTCAAAAAGTTTTGCGGGTCTATACTTCCCACCATATTCTTACTCGGGGCTGTTTTTGCTTTTCAAAAAATTTTACAATCGTATGCTTGTACTGGGCCTTGTGGGAAACATTCATCCGGATGACCATGGCAATTGGTGGGATATAGTTGTCAGTCACTATCTTGTCTGTATGTATGGCATCTCTGGTGCTGTGTTATACACGGTGACCAAAAATATTTGCTTTTTCGCTATAGCCCATGTCTATCGTTCTGAAGGAGAAATATTTTTCTGGATTAATTGTGTTATGAAATCCTTGGGCAATGCTTTTTGCTTAATTATGTCTAAAATACAATGTATGTATGCCATCTTTACCAATGGTAGATATGGACAGTGGATAAAAAATTAACAGTTAATATGAATCGAGTTTTTCACCTGAGAAGGAATGACAGGTGATCGTTGCATCGCCTGATTCTCTTCGAAATATTTCCCTCTTTGTCACCTTTTTCTCTATAATCTCCAAATACACGTTCCATTTCGTACCTGATAAGAATGAAGGGATACATTATGCAACTGGGCTATTTTAGCCAGCTAGTGAAACACAGTATATTTCCAAAACCTTGAAAAAACCTATAATAAATGAAAATTTGGGTTTAGGAAATCGCAGTTGTTTTCTTAAACATAACGAAAAGTTCCGCGTCCTGCGGCATGGAGGTACTGAAAACTTTTTGTTTTTTGATTTTTCTGTTATAGTCCTGTAAATATTAAATATATAAAAAGTTTCAAGATAATTTTCTCGCCTGATAACTAGGCTACAAAGGTTGTTTCTATAACGTTTCCATATATACGTTCGCTTATGAAATAGAGTCAATTTTCGTAGATCTCTGCTTAGTCTATACGTGGACACGCAAGGACATGTCTATGACTCCAATCCGCATGTTTTTTCTCAGTCTTTCTTTCAATTTTTACTGGTGCTACACGTACAATTTGAGTAGGCACAAAATTTTCAGACACTACTGACAAGTATGTTCTCAAATTATCACCCGAAACTGTTCACAATGAAAAAATTTTACTGTTTTTACAAGAACATTGTCATGCTAAGTACTCGGCCATGAATGAATATTTAAATGACGCAACGTATAAAGAAGAACTGTTTAGTACATTTGATATGGTTTAATGATGCAACAAAAATGTACTTGATCTAAGAAAGACTAAGAAAGTTCGATCTTTGTTGTGCGGAATCTTCTTTTCTAGAAAGTAGATAATTTTGCTCTTCAATATAATTGTTCTACAACCAATCTAAAATAAAAAACTACGAGCTTTACGCTATGATCATTTTGAAATGATTTATCGCTTAAAGTAACACTAAACCTCAAAAAATGTTGCTCTCTTTGAAATACATTTTTCTACCAGATACATTTTTTAGAGAAATTTTAATATATTCATGTTACAATTCGGCATTTTCTTTGCCTCTTTTGTAATCTTCATTGATTATTGAGTTATCAATCAGATAGCTCAATGAACATAGATATACAGTGGACCTCCGGTAATCCGACAAACATTATGCAGGGCAGTGTCGGACTATCGAATTTGTCGGATTATAGAGCGCTGCCTAAGACCCCCTATAGATCGGAATTTTTTACAAAAGAGTACCTTGTAATCCGAAAAATTACATATCCAATGGTAAGATTATATATGTTATGTATATGTATGTACTTTGAAGTACAAATCATACATAGTTTATGTATGCCGAATTTAGTAAATTAAATAACAATAGAGAGCTTACGTTTTATTATAAAATTAAGCATAAATGCACATACATATGTACCAAAATAATCAAGAATTATTAATCAAAATCATTAATGAATTTATCAAATTATGAAGCTTGAAAATATTCATCAATTTTTTTTTGTTTAAGGTTGTTATAACGCGAGATCAGAGCTTTGTCCCTCAGTCTTCTCAAAAGTAAAAGTTCGTTGTAGGATGTACCATTCTCTTCAACCCATTGTAAACCTAGCTCAAAGGCGTTAATTGCGTCTTGTGCTGTGACTTGTAGAGCAGTTGCAATCACGTCGTCGTTATTTTCCTGATTGTTTGTTGTATAATTAGAAACCTCTTTTATAATCTCTTCGTCAGACATTTCATGAAAAACATTTTCCTCTTTATCCATTCCACGGCACCAGATTTCAAAATCTTCCGGACTTATCTGTGTTTCAGTAGCGACTTGTTCTATAACTTCCGAAGTAACACTGATTTGTGGAACGTTGCTAGGAGTGGTGACTATATCTGGCCATAACTTTTTCCAAGACAATTTAATAGTTGATGACGGTAACGCATTCCATGACTGACAAAGAGCAAAAACCAAGTCTTTCATATTATATTCTTTTAAATTTTTTTCTATTGGTTCGTCTTTTGATACGGCTCTCAGAAGTAGGTTTTTCTTATAGTCTTGCTTGACAAACTGAATGATATTCTGGTCCATTGGTTGAATCAGTGCAGTGCAATTTGGCGGAAGAAACATCGCAGTGATGCATTTATCCTCAGTTGTTAGTTCTTCTTCAGGCGGATGACCGGGAGCGTTATCAAGAAGCAACAACGCTTTTTGAGGAAAATTATGATCTTTTAACCATTTTCTAACTTCAGGTACAAAGCATTCATCAAACCACTTTTTGAAAAGGTCTTTTGTGATCCATGCACTTTTGTGTCCGTAATAGTGTACAGGTAAATCAATGTTTTTGAATGCCCGTGGTTTATTAGATTTCCCAATGACCATCATCTTAAGCGCGTGTGTGCCCGCAGCGTTAGCACATGGTACTCGTAGTATGGTTACACGCTCTTTACTTACTTTTCGTCCAGGTACGGATTTTTCGTTACAAGAAACGAAAGTTTTGTTAGGCATCACACGCCAAAATAGCCCTGATTCGTCTGCATTGTACACCTGTGACGGGTCAAGATTTAAATCGTTCACCTTTTGCAAAAATCTTAATTTAAAGGGCTCTATGCAGGTGGCATCATCAGAAAGTTTCTCTACTGTAATAGTAACTTTTCGTCATGCTAACAATAACCCAAATCCAAATTTCCATCCATTACAGAATTTTTTGTTAAGTCAAAAATGTTGATTTAGTGGGCTATTTACCATGATCCAACAAATCCAATTCAATCCAAGATATGGACGAAAGGATGAGCGAAGGAGATATTCCAATTCAAAACTCATATCCTGGATCTTATTTCCATTCCGCAAAAAACACTGAACATGAGTTTCAAAACCGTATTCATTTTTAATAAATGGGCTCTTACCTAAGAAGTCTATATTGTTGAGCAGTAAGAGACAAAATAGAGCAAATCAAAAAGTCCATTGCCATCTCGATAGAGATCAGTGCTCCCGCAGGTATGTGTTGCCAAGCCAGAAGAAACCAAAAAGACATACCCTCTGGTACGTATGACTCAAAAAGTAGATTGTCCCCTACGGAAATAGCACGAATAAGAGTGGTTGATGATTATGTGAACTTATACAGGGTGTCCGCAAAGTTGGGGTTGTCCTTTTCAGAAACAATTACCCTTGAAATAACAAAGGTAATGTGTAGTGAAACGAGGGCGACCAAGTAAAAAAAAATAAAGGAAAAAGTACTCACTCTCCAGTTGACGAGAAGGGCTAAGTACGTCTCTGCCCGAAATCATACCGCTCCAACAGAAAATGAAATCAGCTGATGCGCTACCGAGCAGACGCAGGCGGTGGTGCAGACCACGAACAGAGGTAAAAAATATGATGGCGTTGCCGCGTTTTCAGTTTTTAGGTAAACGTACTTTATAGGTATTGTTCGAAGTTATCGCCGTTTGATTCAAAAACACAGGTGCGTGCACGACGTAGCCAAGCATCGGTACAGGCTTTGAGAATGGAGTCCCTCCCCCGAATGAAAGCACCAGGTTGTTCAATTCTGAGACGAAGTTCGTCAACCGTATGCACTTCAGTTTTGTACACTAAGCGCTTCATTTCTCCCCAAAGAAAAAAATCACATGGTGTTAAGTCTGGAGATCGCGGAGGCCACGCTACGGGTCCATTACGTCCGATCCACCTATTCGGAAATAATTCATTCAAAAACTCACGCATTTCGCGTCTAAAATGGGGCGGTGCACCATCGTGCAGAAACCACATTGATTGTCTTACACTTAATGGCACATCTTCTAACAAGGAAGGCAAAATGTTGCGTAAAAAGTCTAGGTATTGCATCCCGTCCAATCGATTTGGGAGAATAAATGGTCCAATGAGCATACCGTTCACCATGCCAGCCCAAACATTCACCGAAAATGTTTGTTGAAAATGTGCCCGACGGACAGCGTGCGGATTTTCTACTGACCAAACATGAGTGTTGCGGAAGTTATTCACCCCTTTACACGTGAACGTAGATTCGTCTGTCACCAATATGCACTTCAAAAAGTCCGGATTATTGTCATGTTGATGCAACAACCACTCACAAAACCGCACTCTTGCTGGAAAATCGTCAGGTTGAAGGGCTTGTACACGTTGGACGTGAAACGGATACAGCCCCTCTTCATGCAGCGTTCGCCACACTAGTTTTTGATACTTGCACTTCTCTAGCCACGTCTCTAGTGATTGTTGAGGGATTCTCATCTACGCGATTCAGTAGTTCTTCCTCAACTTACACCATTCGTGCCTCTGTAGCATTTTGAAGACATTCGCCATAAATTAACAACATATCAACGAGTTCATTATTGGTGTATGAGTGTGCCATTATTATTATTTTTTTTTTTGAAACGCAATCGATTATACGGGTTCGTTTACCTCTACACACGTGACCGTAACCGTCGGTTGCATACTGACCTGACACACTGACCCCGACCCAGTTCTGTCGTCGGGTTGAGCCAGTGACCTTGTACCACTCGGTGATGTCGCGGGTCGCGGCTACAGGACGGTATTCAGATATTTTTGATGTTGCAGTGCCCTTTATCTCGGTTCCCTTAAGACATTGGTGAATATGGTACTAAGAAAAATTGCTTATGTTTTCAAGATCCACACGTCGTGTAAAGGAAAACCCCAACTTTGCGGACACCCTGTATAAATGTGTTTAGTACGCTTCGGATACAAAAGATTACACCGACATTTGGGTCAAAACTAAAACTAAGATTTTAGATCGGATTTTTTCGTGGAATGTACCTATGGAGGCATCAAGCTTTGTAAAATTTCAGGGTCGAAGTCCGAACAGTTCTGTGTGGACAAATGTTCGAAGCTTGAAGCAATGTGAGTTTTAGCGTTTTGACGGCTTTTTCATTTTCTCCCCACTCCTGTCCATTGGAAGCATTAGGCTACGTAAAATATTACTATTTCGGGGTACAAATTTTCAATGAAATCTAAACGTTATCTTCAAATTGTGACCAGATAACTCGTTCGACAAATATTCAAGTCAAAATCGTTTTATTCGAAATTTTGCACACTTTTGTTGGGCTAACAATTTAAATGCCTTCCGGAACGAATACTGCTCAAAATAATTTTTTAGTAAAGAAAGACCAAGCATTTTTTACACCCAGTTACTCT